TCCCCAGAAGCGACTCGCACGTTCCTTCTCGTTTTTGTTAAATTTTTTCATTTTTTAGGTTTGGTTAACGAATTTTAGCTCCAAAAACTCTCCATAGATTTTAATGAGCGATACCTTAAACGACGCCAAATTAATGAACCTATACACAACAAAATAGAGGACACAGGATATAATCTTTTTTCGACTTTTCCTGAGTTTTTAAAGTCAAAATTTCTTAAAAAATACCGCACAAAAATCATCATTTTTGCATTTCAATGCTTTATATTTCCCAGACGGTAAGCTGAAATCACAAAATGTTTGGGCTTAGCTTCTAGCTGTTTTAAACAGACGTAAGATACTAGAGTTATGTGAAAAAAACAAGCGCTACCTCTGAAAAAAGCTTTAAAAAAACCCATAATATTAAAAAGTACAAATTTTATAAAAAATGAGTAAGCAACAAGTTGTTAATGAAATACATAAGCCTGCTAGAAAAAACTTTACTCGTCGTAAATTCGTTCAAAAGGGAATTAATGACTCGTGGCAAATAGATTTAGTTGAAATGATCCCCTTTTATAAGGAAAATAAAGGATTTAGATATTTGCTAACAGTGATTGACACGTTTTTAAAGTTTTCATATGCAGCTCCCGTTAAGTCTACAACAGCTTCAGTTGTTTTATCAGCAATGAAGAGAATATTAAATATATCTAAGAAAATCCCTAAAAATATTCAATCTGATCAAGGAAAGGAGTTTTTCAATAGTTCCTTTGGAGAGTTATTGCGAATAAACAACATAAACTATTACCATATGCCTCAAGGCATCTTTTTGTAAGCGTTTTAATAGAACATTAAAAAATTGTATGTGTAAAATGTTTAGTATGCAGGGTAATCATGTATGGATTCATGCCTTGCAGGACTTAGTAAATAAGTACAATAATTCATATCACCGAACCATAAAAATAAGTCCTAAATGTAGACAAGCAAAATGAAGACTTGATTTTAAAAACAGTTTATAATATTTGCAAGGTATTCCCTAAACATAAGTTCTCTATTGGTGATCCTGTTAGAATAAGTAAATATAAAGGTGTTTTTACGAAGGGATATGAACCGAACTGGACAACCGAAGTTTTCAAAATTTTAAAAGTAAAGTCTACTTATCCAGTAACATATCAACTGAAGGATTACACTACTCGACAAAATCGAACTTTTTTTTTCCTCAAGGATCCAAACCGACTTTTTCTGATAGATATGGGGATTTAACATTTTTTAAAGAATTTAAAGTCAAAATTTCGTAAAAAATACCGCACAAAAATCATCATTTTTGCATTTCAATGCTTTTTATTTCCCAGACGGTAAGCTGAAATCACAAAGTATTTGGGCTTAACTTCTAGCTGTTTTAATTACCTTTTCAAAATAGCAAAGTTCTTTACAACCAGACGTAAGATACTAGAGCTTTGTGAAAAAAACAAGCGCTACCTCTGAAAAAAGCTTAAAAAAAAAATACCAGTTTTCAAAAATTGTTTAAAAAAAAAGTTCTGCCATAGAAAAAAAAAATATATCATCAAACCATTTCTAAGCCCCAAATCTTTAAGAAAAAGTTCGTTTTGTTCCTTGAGGAAAAATCGGGTTGACTAGTGTTATCAGGGGGAAATGATAAAAGGCTCTATTTATGATGAAGAACTTCAAAAATATGAAATATGAAATATAAAAATGCTTTCTTAGTTACAAAAATAGTACGACGAAAAGAGGGTAAAGTTTTTGTTAAATGGCTAGCGTTTGATGAAACACACAAATGGATAGATAAAAAGAGTTTATTGAAACAATTAAAAACAAAAATATTTTTTCGATTTTTTTTTCTTTTAATATATTTATATTACCAATTATACAAATAATTTATACAATTTTTATATATTTAATATTTACAATAATTCTAAAAACATATTATTAATTTTTTTATACAGTATTTCGTGTATCATTACTAGTATCTAAAATATTTTTAATTTCTTAGTGACTATGAGCTAACGTTGAAATATTATCAGGTAATATAAATCTCTTGTCATCCTTATAGCTTAGACTTATCTTATTTACAATTTCAGTATATATTTTATGGCCTCTACTTCTAATAACTCTCTGTTGTCCATAATAGGTTTTTTTTATGTTTAATGCATTCAATGTAATGAGCATGCGATAATCTTTTTACTTTTGACTTTTTTACTGCTTTAATCTTTTTTACGTTAAAGTCAGTGCTATCATCTTTAGCAACTAAATAGGAGTATGCATTCGCTTTTAATCCTGCATTTTCGTCTTTCATTAAACCTAGTTCTTTGTTATTAGCAGGCTTTATACCGAATCTGTTGGTTTCTTAATAATTTGAAGTGTTAATGCAACTTGGATTGTCTATAATTAAATCATAAAAATCTTCCTCTGATGATATAGTTAATTAATCTGTATCCATATTAAGTATTTTTGAAGATGGACATTTTACGGAATGAAAATGTTAAAAATAGTCATACATTAACCATTTGGAAAGTTCTAAAACACTAACTCCAATGTATATGGGCTTATCATAATAAATTTTAGACTTAGTTGACTCAATTGAAGCTAAATTATCTCCAAAGATTTCAACACTGTGAAAATTATGTCTAGCTATGCGTTGTCAATTCTGCCTTGAATGATAATGTTTTGTTAAGGCAATCTCACGCCTTTTTTCAACATTTTCTATCGTTTTACCGTAGACGGAATTTACCATTAGTTTAAAAAAAATGTATCTCGAATTCATTGAAAGCTAACTTTCTGTGATGTGTTTAAGTCTATATAAGGTTTTAACCAACAGGACTGCTTAAACGATAATGTACGAGATATTTTTACTAAAATCATACCTTGCTCTATACATAGATGCAACTGTCTTAAATGAATTATATAATAATTTTTATCTGTTAAATCAGCTATTAATTTTGGTTGCTTTCCTCCTGGAGGAATTTTATTTTCGGGGCAGAACGGTAAACTATTCTGCTAATTATGAATATCATCAGGATATTTTAGATCTACTTCTAAGATGTAACCGTCATTACCGCTCGCCGATGTACTAAGAGCGTTAAAAGATAAAATTACATCGTTACATAGAAATTTAAAATTGGAATATAAAAGTGGCTGACTCATAGCCCAACCATATAAATTGCTGGCGTCAATATAGCTGAGATAGTTGATTGATAATTCTACCTTTGTGTATTTAAGAATTGCATCCCATGAAACTGAAGGAGCAGTAACATAATTAATGGGGTCAAAGCTATATACTCTTGAAAACAGATTCCTAAAATTCTCAACTACATCAGCTAGAATTAGAATATCGCTTTCTAAGTATAATTTTAAGTAATCTCTTATACTATTACAGTTAAACGTTCTCCAAACCTTCTGAGCAAAGTTATAATCCTCAACACTACATTCTTCATCATTCAGAGAATTAAAAAATATTCTCTCGAAGGAAGCTGTGGTTCATCAAATTTTTGAAAATTTTCTAAATAATCATAGGGAAATACTCCTTTTTCATCTTGATATTTGGTTTCCAAAATTTTTAAATTTCATATATCCATATAACTAGCTGGTTCTTCTAAACTTGAACTTAAAAACCTGTTTGAATCTATGTATCTCATTTTGTATTGATGTTTATATAAATCGAGTTTACAAATTTGAGTTAACGCAATATTTAACTCTTTATTGCATGGAATGGGTTTTAGGTCATCTTTTATTGATGTTACAAATAAATGTATATCATAACGAGACAAATTATGACAAACTACATGGAAAAAGGGATCGCTTAATCTAAATGTTTGCTTACACACCTTATGGATAGTTCCTATATACCGACCCGTGAATTGATTAAAGAATTTCTCACCATCATTAACCGAAATTTGTTTCTCGTAGGCATAGCATGCTTCGTGTTCCTAATAGTCCTCATCCCAAATGTTGAATTCGTAGATTAATTTTTTAGGCGATTTCCAATACATCTCATAAAGACCCTCAGTTTTAGCCCGAAGCACTTGGCAACATTTTTCAATACATTTTTCAATACAATCAGGTCCTGAAATTATGAAATCGAAATCGTAATGTTTAAGAGTTTACTATAATATTGATGAAATTTACCTTCATATGTCCACATCTCATTTAGATGAGGATTGTATTTATTTGCAACATAAAATGATTACAGCACATGCTGTATGCCTCTGCGCCATAGTAGTTGATGATTTCGGGGGATCATTTAGATTTCTATGGAAATTTTCCAAAACAGACTCGATGTCAGCATAAATTACCACTGGTGGTGATGGTTTTTTGACAAACTTTTAAATACCGTTTTGGTATTTGGTTCTGGATATAGAGCCGCAACTTTATCACACTCCTTAGTGTCATGAATAGTATTTGTAGTACTATAAAATTGTAAACAATTATCGCAAAAATATGCCGCAGAATGGGATCTACTATGTTGGGAATAGGATAACTTCTTCTGTTATATAGGCATAACGCATAATTTGAACATCACTATTGATTCCAAGCAAGTTTATGTGTTGAGTACGAATCTTTTTAGTTCTCACGTTAGGTCCCACAACGTTTTTTCCATTACCATCGATTTTATATATATTGATGCTGATATTCTCATTGTGTGTTTCGAATCGTTTTATTCCTTTGCTTGTTATTGGAAACTCAATCACAGTAAAAATCGAGTCTACCGCCTTCATAATAAATGATATCTTGTCTTATGTCTACCATTCGATAGCTTGAAGGAATTGCTCATTTTTCTCGGGCCGATCTTTTGTCAGCTGGTATTAGAAATGTAGTTTCTAAGTGTCTTTTATATGCTAGCGATGCTGTTGTGAAGAATCTCATTATTATTATTATTTGTATTTTTAATATTTACTAATTAGTCAAAATCCTGAATACCATTATTGTTAACATAATTAATGTAAGAGAAAAATGGTCACACTGCCAATAATAGAAAAATGGCCACACTAAGTATGATCGATAGTCAGTCAAAAGCGTAAAAGAAAACGAAGCGTATGTAACCAGAGTAGTGGACATTTTTTGGTATTAACATTGAATATATTCCTAGGAAATAAAACACACATATAACCACGGCATTCAAGGTTGTAGTTTTATACGCATAACGCTAAGGAATCAACATCTTTTATTTCGCTTCTTTGTCAATGACGGTAAAGCTTCTGGCGCTTGCATGACCACGGCCGAACACGCGGTGCACGCAGCGTGAAGTACTCATTGGAGAAGCTACGGAACCCACAAGGAGACGGACGAGACTCGCTCGTGGGTGGTCAAGAAACACCAAGAGAACACGGAGGCCAACGTGGGTACGTGCTTGAGGACCACAGAAAAGGCGATCTGTTCTCATGAACGTATGTGTGCATGATCGTGCACATATGGTCATCTCACTCTAACCAACGAAGTTTCCTATACCGGCGACTGGAGGCTTAAGTGCGCAGTTGGCTGACGAAATTGGACAACACATTTTGGATGGTGGTGTTTGATGAGTGGCAGTAGATTGTTGATTTGAGGAAAGGGTCAGTCTGTGGGCTATGTATACCAGAGCAATGAGCAAATTAAGGGCAGCAAATGACCAGCGCGAAGACACCGCTGAGATGGAAACCGTGGAAAAAGAATCCATACACAAGGAAGCCTCTAATACGGAGGAAGACGGTGCCGTCGCTTCGAAGGAATCACAATCAGGTATCGTCAACGCAATGTTGGAGATGTGGCGCCAAATGCAGGAAGGCCAGCAAGCTAATGCAATGCAAATGCAGCAGTTTCAAATGGAAATTCTGAGGATGAATCAAATTCAAATGGAAAAAACTAATATACTTCTGCAATCCCTTGGTATTAGTGGAGGAACAACTGGTGGGCCAGGGCCACCATCAACAACGGCCGAGTCCTCAGTGACAACGGATGCAGACTTACCACCAAGGCAGCCGGTTGCTGCTCAGGAAACGCATCGAAATTTGTACGATCTGTCGGAGTTTAACGGTGCCCCTGAAGAATGGCCAATGTTCAACGAAGCCTTCATTGTGACCACTGCAGAGTATGGTTACAGAGACAGGCAAAATTTGATACGCCTTCAAAAGGCTATAAAGGGCAAAGCTAGAGAGACTGTCGAGTGTTTGCTTATTCACAGTTCAAACGTTCCAAATATATTAGAAACACTCAAGCAACATTTTGGTAGACCCGAGAAACTTGTAAAAAGTCAGATTAGTCGCGTTAGAGAATTTCCAAGCATTCGCGAAGGTAGATTGGAACAATTAGTTGATTTTAAAATGAAAGTACAAAATTTGGCCTCATTTCTGGAAGCAGCTAGCGCACATCAGCAGCTAAAAAATCCAACGTTAATGGAAGAGTTAATCTTAAAGTTGCCGGTGCAGCAGAGATTGGAGTGGGCACGCCATTCCAAGCCATTAGGAGATGAAAAATCGATCCATCATTTAAGTCTATGGCTTCAGGGACTGGCCGAAGATGTGCAAGAAGCAGGATTGGTAGATGATCAGGTGACGTTCAAGCCAAGGAAAGAGAAGTCGAGATTATTTCATGCAAATGAAATGGGACCCGAAAAGGAGAAAGCATGCTCAGCCTGCCAGGGGAAACACGACTTGGACAACTGTAAGGTATTCGCGCAGATGGAGCTTCAGAAAAAATGGCTGCATGTACGGGAAGGGAAACTATGCTTTAATTGTCTCAAATATGGCCATCGCAGTCAAAAATGTAGGCGGCAAAACCAATGCCAGCTAGATGGTTGCTTAAAACGTATTCACTGGCTGCTCCACGAAGAATCCGTTAAAAATCCAGACGAGGAAATAAAGTTTACAGGTACAGCGACTCATGAGGAGAACTCGATTATTTTGTTTAAGATTCTGCCGCCCCGGGGCCCTCGCCGAACCCTGGCAGACGAGCTAGGGTTGCATGGACCAAGAACCCCGTGGAGAAAAGGAGCCCGGTGGTGACAGTAAGGCCTGGCCCTGTGGTGTCAAATACCACGCAAAAAATCCGACCGTTTGGGCCAGCCGTTACATTGACCAACCTGGGCTGGGTTGTGTATGGAAAATGTCGCGATGAAAACGGACACATGAACCATGTAAAGGGTGTACATCTGGTTAGGCATGATGACGAGCACATTGACCAATTGGTGCGAGACTACATCACTAACTCGGAAATGGATGTGCGAATCGTGAAGCACCATGTTGAAGGTCGACAAACTGAGAGATCGAATCAACTGCTATCTACCACGACAAAACGTATTGGTGACCGTTTTGAGACGGGACTACTATGGAAAGCGGATGACGTCGTTTTACCTGATAGCAAGAAAATGGCCTTAAAGAGACAACTATCTTTGGAAAGAAAGTTCAAACATGACCCAGAGTACTATGAAAAATACTGCAACTTGATGGAATCATACGAAGAGAAGTCCTACATACGGCAACTCGCAAGAAATGAACTGGAAGTGGACAACAAGAGGGAATGGTTCCTGCCCCATTTCGGAGTTATTAATCCTAACAAGCCTGACAAACTACGAATCGTTTTTGATGCGGCCGCCGAAGTCGACGGAGTGTCGTTAAATTCAATGTTCATGACCGGGCCCGACGAGTGTCAATCGCTAACCGACGTTCTTATGAGGTTCAGGCAGAGACGGATTGGGGTCTGCGCTGACATAGCAGAAATGTTCCACCAAGTCATAATACGAAACGAGGATCGCTGTGCTCAACGTATACTATGGAGAAAAAATCCAGGGGACGAGATGAAGGTGTACGAAATGCAGGTTATGACCTTTGGAGCAAAATGTTCACCAGCTTCAGCTCAATACGTGAAAAATAGAAATGCACTCGAGTTTAAGGAATCGTATCCAGACGCCGTGAGCGCCATAATAAAGAACCATTATGTTGACGATCTGGTGCATTGTTTTTCGTCCGAAAAAACGGCCGTGAGGGTTGCGAAGGAGATTGTTGACATTCACAAGAGAGGAGGATTCGAATTAAAAAAGTTTGTATCTAATTCCAGTTTCTTCAACGGGATTTTTGGTAATGAGCAGGCAACCGAACTTGTAAGTCTTGATAGGGACGAATATCCCGATGTTACGCCGAGGAGTTCTTTGACAAGCCAATCGAACTGCACATATTTTGCGACGCGAGTGAGTCGGCATACGCAGCAGTTGGCTACTGGCGTATACGTAAACAACTGGGATGGAAGACTACATTTATAATGGGGAAGACCAAGTGTGCCCCAATGAAATTATCAACGGTACCCAGACTCGAGCTGCAAGCGGCCGTACTAGGAACTCGTCTGAGGAAATGTATTCTTGAAGGCCATGACGTCAGCCCAAAATGTATCCAAAATGTATGGTCAGATTCGAAGACTGTCTTAGCGTGGATCAAGTCAGATCATAGAAAAAACAAACCATACGTAGGACACCGAGTCGATGAGATACTTGAAGCTACAAAGTTGGAGGATTGGCATTGGGTGCCCACCAAGGATAATCCTGCAGATTTTGGCACCAAACTCAGAACTGGTACACGAGAATCCTCCTGGCTGCAAGGCCCACGCTTCCTTCAAGAGGACGGAAACCTATGGGATGTAGGAGCTGCAGACATAGGTGAGACGGAGCTGGAGATGCGCAGCAAGTTCGTACTATCAGTTAATGAGGTGCTCTGTGATGGAACTGTCAACGTAGAGTTCAAGGAGCTTCTGGAGAAGTTCTCGTCATTCACGAAACTGGTGCGAGTTGTTGCTTGGGCTAACAGGATGTGCAACCGCAAGATTAAACGGAAGAGCTATTTAGATGTAGCTGAAATTGAGGAAGCCGAGCTCATAGTGATCCGCAAAGTACAGGATGTTGCATTTCATGATGAGCGGATGACACTATTGTCTGGAAAGCCCGTCGAGAACGATAGCAAGCTGTGGAAATTGTCCCCGGCTATAGACGAACGGGGAGTAATTCGCATGAATGGGCGTATAAATAACGCATATGCTGTTGGAGAAGAAACAAGGTGTCCAGTATTAATGCCCCAAGGGAATTACGTCACAGCATTGGTCGTGCAACACTACCACGAGACATGGAAGCATCAAAATGAGAATACTATAGTAGCAGAAATACGCCGAAAGTATTACATACCGCACTGCCGACAGGAGGTTCGCCGCGTATCTAGGAACTGTCGGACTTGCAAAATCCTAAGAGCAACTCCAAAACCGCCACTAATGGGACAGCTCCCTAAAGACAGACTTTCTCCGTACGTACGCCCATTCTCGTATGTGGGAGTCGATTACATGGGACCGTTTTTAGTCGTAAGAGGAAGAAGCACAGAGAAACGCTGGATAATGCATATTCACATGCCTTACAATAAGAGCGATTCATTTGGAGATCGCCAGAGACCTGACGACAGATACGTGCCTTCGAGTGTTGCATAACTTCATGGCACGACGTGGTAGACCTGTACGGATCCGATCGGATAACGGGACAAACCTGGTGGGAGCTGAGCGTGAATTAAAAGAAACATTGCAGGTTCTGGACCATGTGAAAATAGCGAATGAGTTGGCAACCGAAAAAATCGAATGGCTATTTAATTGCCCGCTTAATCCCCATGCAGGAGGGTGTTGGGAACGATTGGTGCGAAGCGTGAAGAGGGCCATCGGACACGCATTATTTGAGAAAAATCTGAAAGAGGACATTTTATATAGCCTAATGTGTAACGCTGAAAATATAGTCAATTCCAGACCGCTCACACACATTGCTCTGGATGATCCCGATGACGACCCGATAACCCCTAATCACTTTCTCCTAGGTTCTGCCAATTCTAGCCAAACACCACATCCACAAGAAGAGAAGTACCAGCCAACACGAAAGGACTGGCGTATTTCTCAGCAGATCTCACACTCATTTTGGAGCAAGTGGCTCAATGAGTACCTACCGGACTTATGCAGACGGACGAAGTGGTATCAACCACCACTGGCTGAAGGAGACGTCGTTCTTATCTGCGATAAGAATCTCCATCGACACCAATGGAAAAAGGGAATGATCCTTGCAGTTACAGCTGGACGCGACGGACAGGTTCGCTCAGCAACTGTGAAGACGACCACTGGAGTTCACAACCGCCCAACTTGTATGCTGGCAAAGCTAGATGTATTGTGAATCACAAGCGGGTTTGGTTCACGGTGGTGGGGATGTTGTGAAGAATCTCATTATTATTATTATTTGTATTTTTAATATTTACTAATTAGTCAAAATCCTGAATACCATTATTGTTAACATAATTAATGTAAGAGAAAAATGGTCACACTGCCAATAAGAGAAAAATGGCCACACTAAGTATGATCGATAGTCAGTCGAGAGCGTAAAAGAAAACGAAGCGTATGTAACCAGAGTAGTGGACATTTTTTGGTATTAACATTGAATATATTCCTAGGAAATAAAACACACATATAACCACGGCATTCAAGGTTGTAGTTTTATACGCATAACGCTAAGGAATCAACAGATGCTATAATACACCACTTGAAACAAAAATCATCAGCATTTTTGACATTGATAATAGCATTTCGTGATTTTATTTTTTTGGGTGCTTCTATGTACTTATTTGCAGGTATATGTTCCAATTTAATTATGGTTAGTGAAAATATTTAAAACTTTTTATTGCCCAACCAGAGTCCTTCTCTTGAAATTCACTACTCTGAGTTATCAAATGTTCAAGAGCATTATTTAGGTACTCATCAATTAACTCATGTTCATAAATACTCTTGTATGGCGTCCATATACTTTTAAATTGAACTTTACTGTTATGTACTCACTCATACAGTAACCCATTAATTTGGTTATATCATTCTTGCAATCATTATACAATTCTTTTAAATCAATCTAACCACATTTATTAGATTGAACACGATATGATTTTAATGGGAATTTCGAGCTTGATTAAATTAGAATAATATTTGTATTGTTCTCTAGTTGAACTGCTGTTGCATTCTTATGCTTTTCAGACATAATGTGGCGCATTTCTCTAGAGGGAGGGTAGCTCTCTCCACATATTGAACAGGTAATATTTACCATTGGAGTATCCATTCTAGGACGTTTTGCGGTTCCTGACGTTGACGGTCCTTGTTGGTTAGTTGTTTTAGAGTTTTTGCTCATTATGATTTCGAAGGCATTTCGACGATCCGAGCATAGAGAGTAAGGGCTCTGTTAAATCCATGGACTTAGAGCATCTGTCACCCTTAATTTGTTTCCGGAGACCTGAACAAATTTCATAATGAGAGTCCAACTCCGTTGACTCTAAAGATTTATAGCACAGCTTACACTCAAAACCACTTTTACTATTCAAAGTGGACAAAGAGTGTTTTCTAAATGACGTTCTATTTATCTTCTTAACTCCTACTTATTCGTTTGTAACCAAAAGATTCAATACCTGCTTTCAAACCTATTTCAAACGATTTCTACTGGTGGTGAATCAATAAACCAATAAATAACTTCAATAGCACCTGTATACTACCTAAAATCCACTTGTTCTTTTTGTGTAATCCCCGCTTAGAAAAACCTGATTCAAACGAATCCTATGATTCTCTTGGGGATGAAACATTTGAGAAAGTGAAATTCACCCAATCAAAAGTAAGGGAAACATTGAAAACAAAATATTTTTAAATTTAGTATTATATTTAATATATGTATATATTATAATTTGAAAAATACATCGAGCTATAATATTATAAATAAGATTCAGCCTCAATTCTTTCAACAGCTGCTATTATCTCAGCGTCATCTTCGTCCCGAAGTAGATCCTGGAGTCGTTCCCTTATACCGCAGTTTTGATCATCAATCAAATTGAAAATATGGTCATCATCCGGGAAAACGAATGGCGTTTCAACCATGGAGTCCTCGCCAACATATTCCTCAAAAACGAATTGAGGTGCAATCATTAGGTCATCATCCTCACTATCATCATCCCATTGAGTCTCATTGATA